GGTTTCACCATGTTGGCCAGGCTGATCGCAAACTCCTGACCTCAAGTGATCTGCCTGCCTCAACCTCCCAAAGTGTTGGGATTACAGGTGTGAGCCACTGCTCCCCACCTAGGGTGATTTTCAAGTGTCTTTTTTTGTTGTTTTGTTTTGAGACTGTCTCACTTGGTCACCCAGGCTGGAGTACAGTGGCGTGATCATAGCTAACTGTAGCTTTAATGTCCCAGGCTCAAGTGATCCTCCCATCTCAGCCTCCAGAGCAGCTGGCACCACAGAGGCCACCCTGCTCAGCTAATTTTTTTTTGGAGAGACTGGGTTTCACCATGTTGCCCAGGCTGATCTTGAATGCCTGGACTCAAGTGATCCGCGCCTTGGCCTTCCAAAGTGTTGAGCCACTTGGCCCTGCCTCAGGTTTCTGATTTGAGCAGTTTCTGACTTTAATAACTGGCAGAGCTGGGGGCGGTGGCTCACGCCTGTAATCCCAGCACTTTGGGAGGCCGAGGCGGGTGGATCACGAGCTCAAGAGATCGAGACCATCCTGGTCAACACGGGGAAACCCCGTCTCCACTAAAAATACAAAAAATTAGCTGGGCATGGTGGCGCGTGCTTGTAATCTCAGCTACTCAGGAGGCTAAGCCAGGAGAATTGCCTGAACCCAGGAGGCGGAGGTTGCGGTGAGCCGAGATCGCGTCATTGCACTCCAGCCTGGGTAACAAGAGCGAAACTCCATCCCCCCAAAAAAAACAACAACAACAACAACAAAAAAAAACTGGCGGATTGTGGTATAATTTACCAAGATGGAAGAGACTGAGCCAGGAAAGGTCTGGAGGCAGGAATCAAGAGTTTTATTTTGAATTTGTTAAAATTTAGGATGATGTGAGCCATTCAAGTGATATCTGAGTCTGGGGCACAGATGAGAAGTCTGAGCTAGAGGTAGAAATGGGAGACTTAGATTAGCTATACTCAAGTTCATTCAGCAAATGCTCATTGACCACCTATTGTGTGCTAAATACTGGGCTGTGTGCTAAATACTGGGCTGTGCACTGGGAATATTGTGGTGAACCAGAATGTTGTAGTGCCTGCTTTTATGGACACTGACTACAGAGTTGAAATAAAATAATATGAAAAGCTTCTATTCATTGAGCATTTTCTTTGTGCTGGCCACTTCGCTCAGCGCCTTAATGCATTTTCTCATTTGATCCTCTCAACAACCCTGTGAGGCCCATTTTATTTTCAAGACAATGATGTCACATAATGCATCAAACCAGATAGCTAGTAAGAGGAGGAGCCCAGATTTGAACCCAGGCAGTCTGCAGGAACTTAGAGATCAAGACTAACTTTACCTCACTGTGCCTGTGGTGAAACTGAAGTCCCACACAGCTTGTAATCAGTTCTCTCTGTTCCTAAGCTCAGCGTTCTATGCACTTGTTTAGATGATCTCTTAGTCTAGAACCCTCTTCTTCTTTTTTCTTGAGATGAATTCTCACTCTGTCGCCCAGGCTGGAGTGCAGTGATGCAATCTCAGCCCACTGCAACCTCCACCTCCCGAGTTCAAGCAATTCTCCTGCCTCAGCCTCCCAAGTAACTGGGACAACAGCTGCATGCCACCACACCTGGCTAATTTTTTATATTTTTAGTAGAAACAGGTTTTCACCATATTGACTAGGTTGGTCTTGAACTCCTGAACTCATGATCCACCTGCCTCGGCCTCCCAAAGTGGTAGGATTACAGGCGTGAGCCACTGCACCTGGCCTAGAACCCTCTTCTAAGAGACATCAGTCACCAGGCTGCCCTGCCCTGCCTGATATGTGCCTGGAGGCTCAGCTGGTACCTGTCGCTGTTCTCCATATCCCTAGGATTGTGCACCTGTGCCTACGAAAGGCTGACCAGAAGCTGGTGATCATCAAGCAGATCCCAGTGGAACAGATGACCAAGGACGAGCGGCAGGCAGCCCAGAATGAGTGCCAGGTCCTCAAGCTGCTCAACCACCCCAATGTCATTGAGTACTACGAGAACTTCCTGGAAGACAAAGCCCTCATGATCGCCATGGAATATGCACCAGGTGGGCCAGCCTCCTTATAGTGGCCTGGTTGGAGGGGCCTCTTACCTCTGGAACAGGCAGACATAGATCACCTGGCTTCCCTCCTCGTAACAAGCGTCAGAGTTCTGGCCCCAGTGATCTGCCCCTGGCTAGCCCCTTGTCCTCTCTGGTCCCAGTGCTCTGTTCCATGCATAAAAGGAGAGGGGTTGTCCTAGGTATGAAAAAGCCTGGATCTTGATTAGTCCCTTGGGCCGCAGGTGGCACCCTGGCTGAGTTCATCCAAAAGCGCTGCAATTCCCTGCTGGAGGAGGAGACCATCCTGCACTTCTTTGTGCAGATCCTGCTTGCACTGCATCATGTGCACACCCACCTCATCCTGCACCGAGACCTCAAGACTCAGAACATCCTTCTTGACAAACACCGCATGGTCGTCAAGATCGGGGATTTCGGCATCTCCAAGATCCTTAGCAGCAAGAGCAAGGCCTACACGGTGCCTGGGCATGGAGGGGACCTCCAGGGTGCTAGAAGTCTTGAGGGCCAGGGCCTAACCTGCCTCCTCCCCTCTCCCTAAAAAACCCTTGGCCCTTTGGCCCCCGTTTGGGTGGTCCTGCAGGAGGAAGCCCCTTGGCTTGCCTTGAGAAGAAGCTGTCCCCAAATGGGCTCATGTGCAGAGCCCCTGGTCTTCTTCCCTGCAGGGCTGTGATCCCAGCTTCCCTCCTGCAGGTGGTGGGTACCCCATGCTACATCTCCCCTGAGCTGTGCGAGGGCAAGCCCTATAACCAGAAGAGTGACATCTGGGCCCTGGGCTGTGTCCTCTACGAGCTGGCCAGCCTCAAGAGGGCTTTTGAGGCTGCGGTGAGTGTACGCACCCTCCAGGGGACAACTGGGAAGTCTACCGCTTCTCCCAGCAGCCCTCGCTCCAGCCACCTAGGGTTTCTCCTCTGGCTGAGTCACATCTCTCCCTTTTCAGATTACCCCAGGGAAGAGCTATGGCTATGCCTCAGACTATGGATTTCTTTTTTCTTTTTTTTTTGAGACGGAGTTTCACTCTTGTTACCCAGGCTGGAGTGCAATGGCACGATGTCGGCTCACCGCAACCTCCACCTCCTGGGTTCAAGCAATTCTCATGCCTCAGCCTCCCGAGTAGCTGGGATTACCGGGATGTGCCACCACACCCAGCTAATTTTTCTATTTTAATAGAGACGGGGTTTCACCATGTTGACCA